ATATTCTGATAATATACGATACATATACAAGAAATAATATACTGTAAAAGATGTTCTGAAAACATCCTAAAAATATACGAAAATTGATATACTACAGGAGATATTATAGGGATATTCTCAGAATATTATGTACGGTACGTACATTCATAATATGAGTATAGAATATTCGTACAATATCATGTGCTGTCTGGGCTGTCTCTGTTAGTCCCGACTACTAACCCTAACGCTTCGTCTATTTTTTGACCGACTGCGTTCGGATCCGTTCCTACCGCGTGCGCCATGTCCCGTTGTTCTTTTGAATCGGGTTTACCGGTTGCGATTGACTTACGTGTGCCTATTTACTAGGCTATATGCCGGACTGCCTTCCGGTTCCGTATCGGAAATCAAAATCACTTTGGGCGAAGTCGCGATTTCCTGATTGGGTACTTCTGTGGCGTCGGAGTCGGACTCCTCGCTCGTGTAGTACTCCTCTAAGTTTCGGCGGACACGGTTTCGTCTATTTCGCGGTATGCGTTTGACAGTGTGTGAGCTTCGCGGATTTTCGTTCGCTTTTCGGGCTGCTTCGCTTAACAGCCTCCACGAATCAATGTCGCGCGGTGTTGCAGGGCCACTCCCTGACATCTACTTTTATTTGTTTCGGTAATTTCGCTCGCTTTTACAATAGTCTTAATTCGACTTACATTAGACGCATGTTGATTTCTCGGTCAATCCTGCTGTCGTAGTTCAGTGCCGCTCGGGTGTCGTCTGGTTGAGGCTGGTCAGGGCTGCTTCTCCGGTTTCCCTCGGCGTTATCGCTCGTCGACTGCTACCGTCGGCTGCTACCGGGTGTCCGTGTCGTTCGCAGTCCTCCGTTGGTCCTCGTTGTCTTTGCTCAGCTGTTCCTTGGTCCTCTGAGGCTGTGTTCTCGACTCAGATGTTCACAATCCCAGTACCGCTGTTTCTTGGTCCTCTGAGGCAGTGTTCTCGACTCAGTTCACAATCCCAGTACCGCTGCCACCACTTTTGTTGCCGCGCCGCTCCGTGCGCGGTGTACTTTCCTTCTTGCTCGCTCCGGAGGTGTTCTCTGACGAGAACCGAAGGGTTCTTTGATGGGATGTGGCTGGTCGGAGGTCACTTCAAAAAGGCACCGTTTAACTATCACTATGTAGCTTTATTCAACTGAGTGTTACACTGATGGTTCACGGCAGGCCGAAGGCCTGACGGACAAATGCTTAGCGCGTAAACGTATAGTATCGAATGACGCGTGATTGACAAGTGCCTCGATCTCGGGCTTTCCTCCGGTTTTAAACCCGATGGTCGAGGTGTCAGCGTTCTCGGTACTCGATCGAGGTTTCTCGGTACTCGATCGAGGCTATGCGTAGTCGGGTCGAGAACTTGCTGACTTCTTCTCCGAATTTAATTGGGTTGCGCGGTCGGGCTTTTGTGGCTCGATCGCGCAATATGCTTACGCTAGTGTTATTCTAGTTGCCGTAATACTGCTTGAGTGCCCTCGTTACCTCTTTCGGCAATCGGGGCACAACAGTATGATTTTTAAGTTTAGTATGGTATATAATGCAAAGTATGGTTTTTTTTTAGTTTA